ACGTCCCTGTTTGTACTACGATTGTAGCCGACAGTGCCCGAGTCAGCTGAAACTGAACCGTCTATAGACGAATTCATTACTTCCTCCAATGGAGCACAGGAGGAGCACGCTGGTAGCTGAGCGTGTTAGAGCGCGATCGTTGGCAGACCGTGCGGGTGGTCGGTAGTTCGAATCCCATCCCCGGTCATTTTTCCCTGCTCTGCTGGCCAAGTGTCTTCGGGCGTCGGTCACAGCTTGGATCAAGATGCCGCTGAAAGTAGTACTCTGTATTGTTCCGTCGTGGCCAAGTCGGTAGCGTCCGGGCCCGGTATGAACCTGGTCGCTGGTTCGGATCTCGGCCGGGTGATAATTTTCGCGCTCCGCTGGCCATGACTTTACAGCCGCGCGACACCTGATGTGATGGGATGGGCCGGTACGCAAACAGTCGCTGGTTCGAATCTAGTCGACGGAACTCTTTTTCCCCTCTGCCAGCCATATGTGTAAGGGTGTGAGCAATAGCGGAGATAAGCTCCACCTCTACAAAAGTCTCATCATTGGCTCAGTTGGTAGAGCGCGAGCCCGGGACGCGGATGGTCGTGGGTTCGAATACTGATCGAAGTTCACTTTTTCCCATTTAGTAGTTTGCGGCGCGGGGACTAAGGGTGATGACAAAAGACCAGCCGACATGGGAAGGTGGACTTGACCGCCTACTCAGCAGCCCCCGCCCCCCTTGCCAAAAAAAAAAATCAAAAAGTTCGCCCGGGCCAGGACTCGACCCCAGGGCCGACGGTGTCTTGTGCACCACGCCCCAGCGTGCTCGCCACTCGGCTGTCGGCTCCACTGGAGAGCAGTGAGTTCGGGATTCGGTCCTGTTTTACGAGTCTTGTTCTCCTGGATTGCACGCGTCCACGGCGGGTCAAGTCCACCTCCTCGACGCGCTGAAGCCCGGGTCGACTCCTGGCCAGAAACAAGGAAAATAGCCACTAAAAGAGCCCCATAATCGCGAGGAGGTTAGGTTAGGCTAGCAGAGAGTACATTTATTTGCCTTTTTGCAAGGATTTCGACCCGGGCTGCAGCGCGTCGAGGAGGTGGACTTGACCCGACCCGGACTCGTGCAATGCGGCAAATCAAGACCATTAAAGCAGGACCGAGTTCTGACCGTTCCGTCCACAGGAGCAGGCGACAGCTGAGTGGCGAGCCCGCTGGGGTGTGGTCCGGAAACCGTCGGTCCAGGGATCGAATCCCGGCCGCGGAACTTTTTTTCCGCTCTGTTGGTTCGCTACCGGCGACATGCGCATCTCGACTGTCGCTGACTCCCGCAGCCATGGCTAACAAAGCGGAAAAAAAAGTTTCGCGGCCGGGATTCGATCCCTGGACCGACGGTTTCCGGACCACACCCCAGCGGGCTCGCCACTCAGCTGTCGCCTGCTCCTGTGGACGGAACGTTCAGAACTCGGTCCTGCTTTAATGGTCTTGATTTGCCGCATTGCACGAGTCCGGGTCGGGTCAAGTCCACCTCCTCGACGCGCTGCAGCCCGGGTCGAAATCCTTGCAAAAAGGCAAATAAATGTACTCTCTGCTAGCCTAACCTAACCTCCTCGCGATTATGGGGCTCTTTTAGTGGCTATTTTCCTTGTTTCTGGCCAGGAGTCGACCCGGGCTTCAGCGCGTCGAGGAGGTGGACTTGACCCGCCGTGGACGCGTGCAATCCAGGAGAACAAGACTCGTAAAACAGGACCGAATCCCGAACTCACTGCTCTCCCGTGGAGCCGACAGCCGAGTGGCGAGCACGCTGGGGCGTGGTGCACAAGACACCGTCGGCCCTGGGGTCGAGTCCTGGCCCGGGCGAACTTTTTGATTTTTTTTTTGGCAAGGGCGGCGGGGGCTGCTGAGTAGGCGGTCAAGTCCACCTTCCCATGTCGGCTGGTCTTTTGTCATAACCCTTAGTCCCCGCGCCGCAAACTACTAAATGGGAAAAAGTGAACTTCGATCAGTATTCGAACCCACGACCATCCGCGTCCCGGGCTCGCGCTCTACCAACTGAGCCAATGATGAGACTTTTGTAGAGGTGGAGCTTATCTCCGCTATTGCTCACACCCTGACACATATGGCTGGCAGAGGGGAAAAAGAGTTCCTTCGACTAGATTCGAACCAGCGACTGTTTGCGTACCGGCCCATCCCATCACATCAGGTGTCGCGCGGCTGTAAAGTCATGGCCAGCGGAGCGCGAAAATTATCACCCGGCCGAGATCCGAACCAGCGACCAGGTTCATACCGGGCCCGGACGCTACCGACTTGGCCACGACGGAACAATACAGAATACTACTTTCAGCGGCATCTTGATCCAAGCTGTGACCGACGCCCGAAGACACTTGGCCAGCAGAGCAGGGAAAAATGACCGGGGATGGGATTCGAACTACCGACCACCAGCACGGTCTGCCAACGATCGCGCTCTAACACGCTCAGCTACCAGCGTGCTCCTCCTGTGCTCCATTGGAGGAAGTAATGAATTCGTCTATAGACGGTTCAGTTTCAGCTGACTCGGGCACTGTCGGCTACAATCGTAGTACAAACAGGGACGTCACGCCCCTTTTGTAGCTAAACGATTGTAGCTACAGTCGACATGGCCGCATGCAGCAGCCGAGCCAGCCAATAAATTCCGCTAGGCGACGCCACCCCGATGGCCACGAGAGCTTAGAGGTCTTTTGAGGCCTGAGCATATAAGACCATGAAGACCGATGCCAGTGAGAGCGCCTGCAACGCGCTTGTTAGTCTAACCCGCCAGGCAGCTGTGTGGAGAAGGCGGCCTCCCTGAGCGCCCCAGGGGCATGGGTATTGGCTCTTTCCTATCGGCTCCTTCCGCCTTTTCCCCCGCAAGACAAATGATGGAACGACGAATGACTCCCTGCTGGGCAAGCTGCTGCGGGTCATTCCTCTTCGATTTGAAACAGTATCTTTTTTTCTACTAACAGTAAAATGAACACAGTGAAAGTAGGGTTGCCTTCAAAATACGAGGCGGCCAGCTGAAGCCCGAGATTTTTCAATTACTCTCGTTTTAATAGGATACATAGGGAAACAAAAATTGAGTAAAACTTACAACGTTTATGACTACCAAATATGTATTTCGTTGTGTAAATTATAACATACTGACTACAAAAGCCACAGCTTGCACCTGAACCACACAAATACTTTGAGATTCATTTTGTGAATATAACTAAGATGATTGATAAAGTGATAAAGTGAATAATGAAGTTTCCTTCAAAAACAATTGATTGGTGAATACAAAAACAATTTCCGGCACAGAATTACTTGCGCTTATGGCTGTGTTAAGTGAAATAGAAAAGTATATTATACCACTCAACTGAATTACATGCAGCACAACTACACATGATGAGGAACTGAGCAGCATCATGTTCTTGAAGATGACTAGTTTTCAAAAATCATGTAATGTACTTCTATTTGAAGATCAAAGGCACTATTACATAAAAATAGGTCATAAACATGTAAGGACTGGTGTTGACTGAAGTAGTAGAAAGCCAACAACATCACGCTGAATAAATCATACACTAATTAAGTTTCAAGCAAAGCCCTCTAAAAAGGAAAAAAGAAAGTAAAACACAGAATACAAAACATCTACTGTGTTGTTATTAATTAGATCAATAATCAAATTTTCTTTGTTCTTATTTCTTAAAGGAGGAAAAAATACTGATAAAAATATGAAGGGATGCATCCTGTATTATAAAACATAATGTGTCGTTTTCAACAAAAACTAACAAGAACTTATTCTGCTGTTGTCTGTCAACAGTTTCATTTAATGGACACCTTTGTGTCATGTCCAGTCATCTCTGAGATTGCTAAAAGTCAAGTTGAATGCAGCTGCAGTCAGTTTGAATATTGAATCTCAGTACCTGTATCACAAAATAGGATACTGAATCCTTTTCTTTCAAAATGTGGTATAACAAACTTGATCAGCAGGATGTCATCATTTATCATTCAAAAAAAAGAAAAAAGAAAAAAAAGACCATAGTACATGTCTAATGAATCTCTAAATGATTTTCCCTTATCACACACTGTCTTTTTTAACATCACAAAAGAGTGATTGATAAAACAATGTAATATTCCGAATAAGACCAATGACAATTTGGTACGGAAAGCTTACTATCAGCATTTCAATTGTATACCAAATCACAGACAATATTGTCATAACGGAGTTCTCCCATCCAACAACTGCCTTATTTCAAAATTTGATCTCTTGCATTTATCACAATGATAGGCACAGCAATATAATATTGAACAGGCAATAGTTTCTAATGATTCAATACTTCATAACATAAACATCATCAAGAATACCTACAATTTTAACATTCACACAACCGGAATGCAAATTGAATAATGCTTGAATAAGATCATCTATCTTATACCATATGCTACAAAACCTGACAGAGCTCTGCAAATTGCCTTCTGAAACCGACCGCGCCAGGCCACCTCCGTCTGCGCAGGCCGCCTGCCAGGTGAGAGGTGAGGAGGGGAGCCTCCCCGCTGTCTCCGCTCCTCACCTCTCGCCTGGGCTGGCGGCCTGCGACAGACCGCGCGGCCTGGCGCGCTCGGTCTCGGAAGGCGATTTGGCAGAGCTCTGAAACCTGAGTTGCTATTCTAAAAAAATTCATACAAAATATACTATGCAAGTCTACTACAGATAGTATAACAGAGATATACGTTAAAATTAAAACATATAAAAAATAGACACAACTCACTCACTGAGTAGAATGAGTAAATAAACTTGGTGATGTAAAAAATTGTATACAGAACAATAGTTTTTTTGAAAAGTAATCTTTCCAATTGATCACGAATTCTAGGAACAATACTTTAAAGTATCTTAGTTAAAAAATTTGCTCAAAAAAGAAAAATTACATCAAGTTTCTACATTGAATTACAGTACTATGATTTCTAATAGTAGTATATAATATCTGGTGTTCAATAAACACAATAAATGATATCACATCTTGTTCAATCACTGTAACCCTCAAACTCTTGTGCTGATTAGATATGAATAAATCACGCACCAAATACTCAGTGCATTTAATTATAATGATCACGTAAGATTAAAAGTCAATAACGAAAGCCACAACAAAGCTATAGATCTAAAATAAAAAGAAAGAATTGATTGTATTAAAAAGCACATATAGGGATAGATGGAGGTTGTTCATAGGATTACCATATTTAGGTATTGTATGATGGCAATGTACATGGACAGCATTATATAAGAAAAATATCTAATACACTATAATTGATGAGAACCTGGGAATAACATGGAACAAACAGAAAGGAAGGAATACAAACGATAATATGGTTTACTTAAGTTTCATTACTTGAGTGCGCTTCTTCTTGTTTCGCTTTGAAAAAATTTTACGCACACTCCCAATCCAAGATACAACCTGGGCAGAGTCAGTTCTTTTAGAGGCAGTGAAGGCTGGAGACAGATTAAGAGAGTGTGATGGTGACTGCAGCAGATGTGAGTGGCAAGGTGACTGCGGCAGTGAGATGGCCTCTTGTCATTCAGCCCCCCTATTTGTAGAGGGCCGAACAAGTCTTTCTGGATGTGACATGGCAAGTTGGGAAAAATCTCTTACAACATCGTTAAATGTATCATCTCCTTGGGAATCAGATGACTTCATTTCTTCATCAAGTAGACCTAAACGAAGGCTGAAGGAAAAATCAAAGTGTTAAATAAAGTTGAAAATTAATAAGAAAAGAAATTCTGTTTGAAAATACAAATATTCTGCAAGTCATACAGGGTTACAATGTCTGCATTTGCTTCTTGAATAGCTACATCCAAAGGCTCATGATTGTCTGTATCCTTCAAGTGCTGATCAGCTCGGTGCTTTAATAACAAGCACACTTGGGCAGTGTGACCTTTAACATAACAGAATGCCAATTTTAATAATAGACAGATAGAGTGTAGTGAATATGCCTCTACAATGATATTTTACCTAGTTCGGTTGCTAAATGAAGAGCTGTTTTGCCTTTGTCATCCTGCTGATTAATGGATGCTCCATTCAAAAGTAAGTACTCACAAGCCATAACAGAACCCTGACACAAACAAGATTATGATTAACAATGGCAGAAATATTTGATGCATACTGATGATAATGATTAAGACCTAAATACTTACGCTTAAGACAGCTTGATGGAGAGGGCATCGATTGCCATCTTTGAGATTCATCCAATTTTTGTTTCCCCCTAGTGCAAGTGCGTTACACATTACAGGTAAATTGTGAGCTGCGGCTGCCATATAGAGTAACATATCTGGATGCAGCTTGGATATATCTTCCTCAACTAATTAGATAAAAAAGAAACACAAGTTTAGAAAAAAATATTTGAGAAATTATTTGATATAAAGTTGCTAAGAGTAAGCACCTAGAGACTTTTCGTCTTCTCCGTCAATTGACTCTTCGTCACTGCTAAGTTCTATTTCAACTGAACCACCTAAGGTAGTTTCCCCAAAAAGCAAAACTTCAGCATTAACTGGTTTTTCCTTGTCTGAGTTATCTGTATCTAAACTCTTTGAACCACTTGTATTATTGTCATTTTCTAGTTTGTGAATTTCTTCTCTTGCAGTTCCTAAAAAAAATATAGAAAGTAGAGTGCGTTGGAATTTATTTTAGTTTGTAAATTTAAAATAAGCTGAAATGAAAACTTTTTCTTTTTACCTAAGTACAGGTAATAATGACAAAGACAAACTAACCTTGTTGACCAGCAGGACACAAGGGTTGACTTTGGCGGCTGTTCCTGTTGTCACGACTCTGCGGTCTGGTCATGGTTCTCCGCCTCGACACTATCCACTTATTCTTGCAAAAAGTTTGACTTGATAGTTGTTTCACAAATTTACGTTCAACATACTTTGTCTTAATCCAAACCTCTCTAACAACATTTGAGCAGTTTGGTGTTGCTCGAATCATATCAGGATCTACATTTGCTTGGTAAGTTCGATTGACGATAAAGTTTCCAAGTTCTGCCATGACCTTAATAATTTCAGGCTCCCACTGGTCCAATGTCAGAGATCTCACTTTGCTGTGGTGCACTCCCAAACTGCGGTGCACGCCTGAACAACCTTAAATAGAGAGATATCACAGTTTGTAGAGTATGAAATGAAATTTCATCAAATTAAAAATGAATGCAGATATCACAAAAACACACACCAATACATAAAGTAATACCCAAGTTAATACTGGCCCAACCAGGTTTCTCTTGGCCACAGTCACAACATACTTCATTTCCTGGAATGTTAATCAATTGTTCCCAAACCCTAAAAGAATAAAAAGTTATCAAAAAAAAAAAAAAAAACAAGAGTGAAAATACGAGCAATTTGAGTAATAATTGCAATACCTTGTACGTTTGGGTTTTGGTGGTGTTTGAGATGTCATGAGAGACAAATGGTTTGTTCCACTGTTATTTGACTTTGGTGAAGGATTCTTTGTGGAATGAACTGCTGACTGACTTCTCGGTGAAGAAGATGAAGATGAAGCATTTAGAATTTCATCTCCAGTGCTCATGGCTCGCTGGAAGGCAGCTCCAATCCCTTTTTGTAGGGCCTCTATCCATGCAAGATACATTTCCTCAGAATCTGCTTGGAGAATATGGCTCCTGGATCAAATTTTGAATCACATGCTTTAGTTTTTGTGAGAAAAACCTAAAATCTAAAAAGAAAAATTCTGACGAAAAAATGACTGACTTGTTTGGAGACACAACTTCAAAGCAAAACCTTCTATCACCCTCTACAATGGGCTTTACGGTACACAGCCTTAAGTCTTCCTCCATAACAGTTACATCTTCTCCTGTAAAAGAAAAGGGAATAAATTTTGCAAAATTCCTCTGGAAGACAAGTGACTGAATGCTGAAAACTATATTTCTTTTTAACTACCACTTCTTTTTCTATAAACAAGCTGGTTATCCTGCAGGGCAAACCATCTCCTATTCCAAGTCTTGAATGCATTAGAAGTCCGTTTAAAAAGATATCCTTGGATAGAAGGGATGCCATTCGGGGGAAAACGCAAATCATCGTTAGAATCTAGTTGTTTATTCTGTTCACTTAAAACACAGTCCTTGCTTGTAACTAAAGTATGTCTGTTTTCCATTTCTTTTTCAAGCCTGTTCGCATCTGTCTGCAGTTTAGAAATCTGGAAATCAGCAAAATATACATATTTACTAACTGATTACAAGCACTGCAAAGAAGATCAGATTTTTCAGAATAACTATTTAAAATGAAAACAAAACTAAAATGGCACTCACACTTTCTGCTAGTTCTTTCAGAAATGGATCTAAGTCTTGTGTAAGATCAGAACCTTGGTGGAAAAAGGTACTCCATGCATGCATATAGCTCAATAGCTACAACAGAAAATTACAAAAAATATCAAAGTTTTGAACTTACTGTACAATGTGGTAGGTTATTGACATAAGTTACATCCATAAAAACTTACAGTTCCAAGGACTTCTTGACGCTTGCGGGCTTGAAGAAGGCTTAGAACTCTGACATGATCTAGTGCTGTGTGACGAAAACATGAACGGGTGGCACTCAAAATATTTTGGGCTTCCTCTGCTTCAAGAGGTCGAGACTTTGGGATCTGGGCATTTCTTGAGAGAGCTCCATCAAGGTCCCCTGAAATTTTCTCTAAGTAATGACGAGATTCTTTGGCACTTTTTATGTTACTGCTCAAAAAAGAAGATAAAAGCAGAAAATTAATTTAAAAAATTTATAGATTCACTGGATATTTTTACAGTATTTCTGATAACCTACCCCTTAATAAAGGTCTGGAGATTCTTTAATACTGTTCGGCTGGCTTGGTCTAGTAAAATGTTTTGAAACTTGTTCATTTCTTGAAGGGCTGGAATAAGTTTGTTTAGAGGTGACGCCACCTGAGGGTCATCCCTGAAATGTGCACTCAAGTCCCATAATGAATGGATAAACTGTGATTGTTGAGTGACATAGTTTCGACCAGAATCCACCATTTGTCCACATGTCTTCAAAACCTGCAAGTAATGGAATGGATTAAAGGTAA